AGCCCCACGGCGCCCGATCGGACCCTGGGCCAAGACAACATCACGAATTTGACCCTGAGTCTCAGAGATCGGCTCCTCCTCCTCTTTTTCGAGAAGCGTCTCCCGCAGCGCAGGACACTCCACCAGGAGGTGGCCGATGGACTCACACGGGGCACCGCGCCCCCTACACTTTGGGTCGGGCACGTACCTTGCCGCCCTGAGCGCGGCCCCTTTGGACCCAGCCGAAGCTCGGATCCCGCGGGGCCACAGCTCGCAACCGTCAGGGAAATCAGGAAAATGGGCTTGGATCTTACGCATCTGCCACCTCTGAATGCCTGCGCGCAGCAGCTGTGCCATATGATGAGGGTCGATATGCTTTAACGAGAAGACCTCCCCCAGGTCAAAACGAACCAACATCGACGACTCCATCGACCAATCGACCCTCATCAGAGACAGGCAAACGACCGCCATGGGCCCCGACGCATGCCTCCATATGAACGTCTCAGCTCGCCTGTCCGCTAGGGCGCTCCAGGCCCGCTCAAGCACTCCGAGCGAAAAAATGCATCCACACTACATGGGCATAGTGCTTAAAGGGCCCAAACGTAGCCTCCCATATCGGGGTTATTGCCAAGGGTCGGGCTGCGTAGCCAGGTAGACCGCGAGCCCCCCCCCCCCCCCGACCTTTGGCCCCCACGAGAGCCCCCGCAGCAGCTCGGAGCCTACGGGGCTCGGTGTCGGTAGCGCCCGACACTCCGCAGCAATGGCTAGCCCCAGGGAGCAAACCAGTCCTCCAGAGCCACGAAACCTTGTTACCCACAGCCTTGCGCAGGTAATACGTCCTACGCATTCGGGTCTTGAGTTTGGCAAGTCGAGCTCTAGTGATCGGTCTTCTCCGATCTCGCCCTGACAGCTCATGTCCTAGGTTGCGCGCGCTGCGTTTCATCTCGGGTTTAGCTGCCCCCGCCCAACGGCGAGAGGCTTGACGGACCGCGCGGCTGCCAGCAACATGCCCTGACTTGCCCGACGCTGAGTCCTGGAGCACAATCCCTAACTGCATCACATCTGCCTTGGAATTTGCCGGTACATTCCGCAGGTTCTCCACCCCGCCCACGCCGTCCAACCGCTCCCCTCCACCCCGCTGCATCGTAAGGTGGTCTACCAAGGCTCTCGGCACGACCCCGCGCAGCCTAGCCTTGCGCACCGCGCGCAGCGTGAGGAGGGCGAGGAGAGAGGCGAAGTGGGAACAGCCTGCGAAGAGCCCTTGCCATGAGACAAAGGCCTCGGAGTGTGAGGCGAAGGCCTTCAGCATTCGTGGCTGTCCGTGGTACTCAAGCACATCCAAACTAGCTGTAGCGGAAAACCATGGCGTCGAGCTTCGTTGAGCACCTCACCAGGATTGGAAGAGTCGTACCACTTCCAAGCGTCGACGGCCGCCGTAGCCGTATGCCACCCAAGCAGAGCGCAGCCGTCTCCGCGTACAAATTACGTTCGAACGCAGCAGTTGTCGAGCTCTGCCCTGCGCCACCTGCGCCCCAGACTTCGCTCATCTCCGTGCTGACGACCCACTGCTCCGATATGATTCGGCGCGTCCGCGCCCAAAGCGTGACCAATGAGTTGACTGGCGCAATCAATCGAGACCCTCCTCCTCCTTTGGGCAGCCTGACCAAAGTAGTGTATATACGTATATGTGGCCAGCACCCCAAAGACTCGCCTCTGCCAGAAAGCTTCGGCATGCCGATCAGCCCAACATCTGACACCTGCCATAGAGCCCGCGGCGATATATTCATCTGCCCAACCGCCGCGGCCTCTGCCCAACCGCCGCCGCGCCCAACCGCCGCGGCCTCCCGCGCGATATATTCATTTGCACAACCGAACGCAATAACTCTACTGTCATCTCGGATATCTGGTCCCATGTGTGGAAACCCGAGGGCTTATGGAACTGCGTGCGCCCATGCTTGGTCCAAATACCTTTCCATTTGTACAACTCTCTGTCAACCAACTGGCGCGGGCTCGCCATCGTGGTTTGCCCCAGCACCTCCTGCAACACACGCGCGCGTAAAACAGTCAGCCATGCCCGCACCTTTCCCCAGAGACTTGCGAGCCCAAGTCTTCCAAGCGCTGGACTGTTCACGTTCAAACTGGAGCTTCGCCTCCTCCGCAACTTTGAGAAAACCCTCCGTGCACCCATCCGCTGTACTATCCAACCAGGCCTCGATCCCCCGCCTGAGGAACGTCTGGAGCTCGGCTTGGAGCAACGGCATCAACGGCGACCGACGTACCTTGCAATGCCGCAGGAGTTCCGCCACAATCTGCATTCATTGTGGGCCGTCGCTGCTGCACACACACACAACATTCGCCGCCATGAGTTTCTGAGCCCTGTCACATACAGCTGCCATGTATGTCGTCCATGCTTCGACCATCTCGCCGCTACCTGCAACGCCGCCGTCTCATTGCTCCGATACGTACGTCGCCGCGGCGGTTTCCACTCCAGCTTGGACAAGGAAAATTCAACAGGCCGCCCTCGCCCAGCATGCGACACACGTTCTCGTGGCGAATGGTACCACCTGTCCGACAGCTCACACTCGATGACACGGATCACCTGGCCCCAAGCCCGCTGAAGCCCAGCTTTGTCCTGCGCAGCTTCCACGCAAAGGATGGAAGCGCGCGCGCCCCATTGGAGCCCTGGACGGCCAGCCACGGGGCTCACAAGGGACCCGCACCCAAGTTTCAACGTCTCACACACGTTACACCAGGACAGGACAATGTACAGGAAGGCGAGGGTAAGTGGCCGCATCTTGGTCAACATACGGCTGCGATATATTCGTGACCCGGTTGCTACATATGATCCCATAGTCGATGGTCGTGTTTGCATTTTGTACGCAAGTGATGTGCCGAGGCACCATGTGCAGCCCTTGGAAGCCCTTCGACCACCCTGTCATTAGTACGGATGAGTCCATATTGAAGCCCCCAAGACAAATCCAGTCCAAGCGCAAGGAATCGAGCACCATAAGATAATGCTGTAGATGTGCCTCGACGCAGGCATTGTCCTCACTCAGTCCCACAGAAGCATGGACATACGCCGTGACCACCACTAGGCCATTCTTGAGACCATAGTGTACATGTGCAGCCCCCAACCTGCCTGGCGCCGCCTCTGCATCGGAAAAGAGAGCTGCCGTGACAGAGATATGCGACTTCGCAATCACACACACACACACACCTCCCGACGTGCCACCAGCCTCCGTGGGAATAGCCTCCTGCCAGATGCCATGGTAGCCCAAATCCTTGACCTGCTTCTGTAGTGCAGCAAGTCTTGGCCCAATGGCATGATGCTCCTGGACCGCGATGATACTGCTGGACGGCCCAGCAGCCAAGAACTCGACGAGGGGGCCACCACCGGATACGTTGACCGTCGTAATCACGCCCTTGACGCCGACCCCCTCATCACCTTCACGCCGACTGCGCGCGCGTCCTGATTTTGTTTTTTCTCTGAGCTGCATCGAGCGCCAGTGGGGGGGGGGGAGACTGCCGCAGGCACTGCCACCTGCGGCGACGAGGAAGATGCCGACGACATTGCCGCCGACCCATGAGATACTCCCAGAGTGCACGCCATCAGACTGCCAACATTCAAACCTCGAGCCACCATCTTGCCCATGCCTCTGCACTCAACACGGCGACCATTGTTTGACAGCATGCGCCTTCTTGGCCATGGAGCGCAGGTCCGCCGTATCCTTCGGCAACTCCCCGAGGAAGTCGAGCGTCTCCAGGCTAGCGCGCAGCACGCCGATTTCACAGCTGTCGAAATTGGGGGCGGTGGGTTCGTCAACGATCTCAACGTCCTCCGCCCGAGGCCGCTTGACTTCTGGCGTCTCGTCTTGCGAGGCCTCATCACGCGCTCGAGTCGGTAGAAGCAGCTGCTCCACCAACGGGTTCGCTTCGACGGTGGCGACGAGCTTCCCCGAGACCCCAGCCGCTTGTAGAATCCAGTCCAGCACGTCCAGGTTGAACTGGCCCCCTGAGTCGTGCTCGGAATCAGGATCAGGAGGCTGAGCCACACCACTGCCAAGAGCCCGCAACGGGCCCTCGAGATCGGCAATGGCGCAGCGCTGTGCCTCAACCTTTTCTGCGTACAGCCTGACCTCCTGCAGCTTTTCGAGTTCCACCTTCTTGGCCATACTTGCCTTGGTGAGCTTCTCCAGCTTGGAACTCTCGATTTGCAGCTTCGCGGGGAGCTGTCGTATCTGGATGCTGACTGGTTGTTTGGATCGCCGCAACGCCATGCACTCTGCCTTCGCCTTAGCATGTTGCTCAGCGATGGCCTCCATGCCGACGACTCCAAGACACGCCGCGTGCATCCTTTCATACGCCTCGATCTGTGCCAGCAGCGCCTTGCCGCCATCGTCGTCCACTGGCTTCGTGGTGCCCAGCTCCAACTCAGGCTGTGCACCCGCTGCTGAAGTGCGGGCGTGCTGCCGTCGAATCTCTGCAACCTCCGCCTCAAGCTCTGCGAGATTCTTGCACTGGGACTTGGACTGGCTCCCCATCGCGGGTCCTCCCCCGCTGGCGCGACGGAGCCATGGGGCACGGACCGACGGGGACTCGGGCTCGACAGCGCGGAGGAAGCAGGAGCCCTTGTGCAATCCTCCACATCCGTCCTTGGCCCTCCCAGAACAGTACATGCGCCATCCAGGATTGACCCAAGGCGTGCCAGAGCGCTGCACACAATAGCGACACTGCCAATCTTGCTTCTCGGCATCGCGCCTTGCCATGTGGCACTAGGTCCTTGGCGTGGGACCGTTTTGCGGAGACAGCAGGCGGCAGCGCGCAGCTCCCCGCCTGCAACACGGTGTTGGCCTCCCTTTGAGGCCGAAAGCGTAGGAGCCTTGAGCCGCTCCCTGAGCCGGGAGCAGCGTTGGGAACTTAAGCCAAAATGGCTACGGAGGGTGGACGAGAAGGAAGAGGAGGAAGAGGGAGGCTAGAGGGAAGAAGGAGAGGAGGCAGGAGCGAGGAGGCGACGTCCGCAGGTGTGGGCCTCCAGGGGCCTGGTGGTGCGCATCATCGGGGCCGGCGCGGACCTCAAGGATTTCTTCGGCGTTGAGGGCGTCGTGCTCGAGGCGTGCGCTTCCGCGTCGCCAGGGCAGATCAGGAGGGCGAAGAAGCGGAAGAGGAGAGGAAGAGGAATATAAGTATGAGGGCGAATAAGACAATAAGAAGGAAGGATAGGTCGGGAGGGGAAGAGGCAGGGAGGAGTGAGGAGGAAGGGGGCCAGAGCAAGCCCAGGATGCATCAATGATACTGCAATACACCCCTCCCATTCCGCATCGAGTCCCCTCATCAGACTGTGCAAGCGCTCTTTTTTAATTGCGGGAGGCGCCCCCTTGAAAGACGATCGCTCGATTTCAAAGGAGCTGCTCCTTGTCCTCCCGACAGTTCAATCTTCGGGAGCTCGTGTAGGCTTGGACAGATCCAGGGAGGCTGCGAGGGAAGGTAATCGCCCCGCCTTCCCCTGCCTGCTGGGCTAGGCTCCACTTGCTGCGGGGGGGGGGCGTGCCGCCCCCGTCCAGGCCCAGGCCCCTGATGTCGTCTCTTCCTCTTCCTCTGCTCCTTCCCCTCCCCACCCCTCTCCTCACCAGAGGGGGTCGAAGAAGGAAAACAACGCCATGAACATGAACTGTTGGCGCTCTGCGCGGATTTCTTGGATCTGCGCTGGACCCCCCTCCCTGGCGCCAGGGGCGGCGCCGGACGCACCGCCGGGGAGGCCCAGCGTGGATCCAAGAAATCCGCGCGGAGCGCCAAAAGTCAATGTTTCCGGCGATGTTTTTTTTGGGGGGGGGTTGGTTTGGGAAGCGCCGAGGGGAAGGCAGGCCTCAAGGGAGGTGCCCTGGATTTCAAGCACGGCTGCGCGAGCTACGTCGTGACCCGAAGGGTCACAAGTTGTGTTCTGCGGGTTTCACCGCCTTGGGTGGCATAGTTGTTGTAATATGTAGTAATTGTGTTGTGGCAGCTACACGGTCAACGGACGGCCTGTTAATGTACGGGCGCCGTGCAGCGAGGAGTTTAAATCCTACGGCTCCACAGCCGCTCGGAGGCGTGTTGGTAATTTCACGGATCGGTCAAGGTGCTGGGATTTGCCTTGTTGTTGGATCTGCGTCGCGCGTGAGATAGGACTGGTTGGCCATTGATTGACACAGAGCAGGAGTCTGAAGATCCGTGGCAGAGAAAAATATCTGGAAACGTTGGTCATGTATCCCAGCATGGTGGTGTTCGTGGCAAGGGAGTGGTTGGACAGAACGCCAAGACTGAAGCGAGGGAGGCTGGTCTCACTAGCGCCGACCGACGCGATTCCGAACCTCCACTTCGGCGTCCCTCGGGTATGATTCGTTTTCGACCGCTTCGACACACATCGGCACAACCTGCGTGCATGGATACGGAGAACGAATTTCAAGCTAGCCGCGCAAGCTGGTCGAGTTCTAGAAATGTGGCAGATAGATACGCAGACAAAGTTCAGAACCGTAATATCCGAGGACGGCGTGCAGCAGCTTCTAGATCACGCCGAGACGCAGGACAGCGACGCCGAGGAAGGGGGCGGCTTGGCGAGGAGGAGGAGGAGGAGGACCGAGCGCCTGGCCGCACGCACACGGACCAGGGCCGAGGGTGTCAGCGCAAGTGGCGGAGAGGGAGATGAGAGGGATATGTGCACGTGAATGCATATATCCATGCGTACATGTACCCATCGGTCGTTGAAAGCAGGTATTGTTTGATTCCCAGATTCCAATCTACTTTGAGCGCCTTCCTACTTCAATGATCGAGTGGCTTCACATGTTCCGTCCTCCTTAGGGTGCGGCCGGAATCCAATCTATTTTCAACGCCTTCACCAATCATGTTTCTACCTACTTCCGACCGGTGGGTATGTGTATATGTGTCTATGTGCATGCACGCTGGACAGTTCGCCTTTCGGTTGCCCCGAATAGCCACACGCTGGCCTCTGCCTCGCCGCCGACGGAAAAAAGTGAATATGTACATATTACATACACTGATATATATATATATATATATATATATATGAAGAGGGAGAGAGCGATGGATAGAGAGAGGGAGAGCGAGAGAGAGAGAGAGAGAGTGAGAGAGAGAGGGAGCGAGAGAGAGAGCGGAAAGAAACACCCTGCTTGCCTGCGGGGTGCCCTGGGTGTCTTGGGTGTCCATGGTTTTGCGATGGACAGCGCGGCGTTCCCACACCAAAGATCGATGGACGTCCTGGGCTCTCAGGTTTTGGGTTTCATGTGGAAGGTTTCTTGTGGTCGGGCCCCTACTGTATAAGATCGAAGTCGGTTCTGGAAGGATGCCCTAATGTTCTTCATGTGCGTGTGTGTGTGTGTTGAGTGCTCTTGTGCATCCTGGGGAGGATGCCCTTGGCTGTTATGTGTGTTCTGGTCGGCGGAGGGTCTCATGTTCTTGGGGAATGTGTTTCTGGCCTAAGTCCGACTGTACGCAGGGGTGTGGTTCGCGATCGGCACCGTTGGGGCCTGGGGGGCACGACGCCGTCCTCGTCGGGCCTCCTCGGGGCGCGAGCTCTGTCGAGGTCCTCGCCCGCCCCCCAGGGCGCCCCCCAGGCTGGCCGTTGCAAACCGCACCCTGTGCAATCGGAGTCGCCGATCGCCAGTGCCATGACAAGTGCCCCCCCCTGCGCGAAACAAGGTTCCGAGCCGCCGACGAGGCGCCAAGCAACTTGGGAGGCCGCAGAGAACAAGAGGGTGACATAGAGGGAGAACAAAAAGAGAGGCGAGCTGGATGACGACGACGACGGCGACGAAAACGGAGGCGGCGACGGCAGCGGCGTCGGCGATTTCGACGGCGGCGACTACAACGGCGGCGGCTTTGGCGCAGGTCGATGCGGCCTCGGGGCTCTGTAAGGTCAAGGCGCGGGCCAGCGGGAAGAGCCACGCGCCAGCCTCGGCGCGCGAGGGGCGAGGAGAGAGGAGAGGGCATGGAGAGGGTAACAGAAGGATAATGAGGAGGAGGAAAGAGAAGGAGCAGGGAGAAGCGGGCACCCCCCGACGGGGGGGATGAGGAGGAGGGGGAGGTGGTGAGTCGGAGGGGCGGGAGAAGGCGGAAGGTGAGTCGATCGTTTGTTTTCTACGGTGGTTCTGGTCTTTTGGACACTACGTGCGGCTCTCGAAGGAGGAGGAGGGGGAGGCGGAGGAGGAGGGGGAGGGATGCGGCATGTTCGTGTCATCTCGACGCAGCGGTAGCAAGGCTGTGGGCGTCCAAGCTCGAAGACCCCTAACAGCGGAGACCGTTCAAGATTGCGCTTCTTTCGCGGTGAAGAAAACTGGGGCATAAGCCGTTATGTTAGGAGTTTGCCTTGTGGATGGGGGCGAAGTTTGGAGGAGGCACAATCCAGGAGGCTGGACAGAAAAAAGAGGGAGGGATGACGTAGGGCCGAGCATTCAGCCGCTCTACATTGTAGAACAGCTTGCAACAAACACACATTGCGCTTCAGAATTGTAACGTATGCATGATCGGAAATAGCTTTTCATGTGATGATGTGTACAAACTTGTACAAACGCATGGATATGTTAAACAAATGCATCGATAATTGAACCAACATGCAGTAGACATGCAGACATATGCGCGCCTGGTCTCGGAAGGGGCTCTGATCTCTTCTGGTGATTAGTTTGGTGTTATTATCCGCGCTCCTCGTAAAGCAAGGCGCGGCCCGCCAAAATATCTGGAGACTCACGCAGGTTGAGGCTAGGCAGCGTCTACCTTGGCTGCCAAGTCGTTCTGGTACAGCGTCTCCTTCCACTGTCTCTCTCCCTCGATCTTTCTCTCGATCTCGGCGAAGGCGCCGTCTGCAGCGTGATGCCTCAATTGTGGGTTGCCATTAAGTGCGCTACCGATATTGGACTGCCTGTTGCGGCTGCGTCTATCCTCGTCAATCCCAGACCCGGTACGGAGCAAGAGGAGGAGGAGTGGACGCGGGAACCAATAAGCACACAGAACGCCCCCCCTCCTCACGACTTCGATTTCTCGCTGCGCACGAGGCGGTAAGGGCGATTCGTCATGTTCCCTCGCACCTGCCTTGGTGACTGAAATGCTCGAATTCACAGTCACGATGAAGGACTCCATACGTATCCACTGCCTGCGGAACCGATGTCCCAGGATCGCAGGGGGCAGGGAGTATGGATATACTCGGGCCCTTGGGGGAGCCAACGATTGTCCGTATCCACTGTCTCCTGGGGCCTTGGGACATGATTTACCTTGCCGGTTGTTTATAGAAAGTCCGCCGAGGTCATGGTTATTATCATTACCCATCGGTCGTTAAAGATATGTATGTTTGAAGTCGATTGGCTTCACCTGTTCCGTCCTCTTTAGGGGGCGGGCGGACACCCAATATGTTTCCAACGCCTTCGTACTTCATGTTTCTACCTACTTCTTCCGACCGACGGGTAATGCTAATTGTATCGTTAACACCATTTATTGTTCGATTGAACATGTTTACGATTTCCGTTCTTAGTATCGAAGACGTCTATGGTGAATCGTTGAGTCTCCAGGGTGGATAGCAGCTCGAAAAAGAGGTACCGCCAAACTCGTCCGAAAACCCAGGCGACATCAAATATGTTTGAGTCTTCGGGGCCACTCGAAGTATTCTTGGAACCCTCCTGGAACTTCTTGGGCGCTTCGCGGGCCTTCTTGGGACCAACGTGGGCCATCTTGGAACTCTCTTTGCCTGAGGCCGTGGGGCGCGCCACCCTTTTGGCGCCTCATTTCTGCGCTCGCGGGGCATCCGAGGCCGCGCACAGGATTTCGGGTATCTCTGGCCCGACTTTGCCAGGACTTTGCCGCGGTACTTTTCGTCCCGGGACCACCAGGGGCCGCTATGCGCGCGCGGACTAAAAACAGTTTTGTTTCTATTGGAGATTATAGCACGCCTCTGGCCCGTTGGGCTGGCGAATTCATCTTGCACATCCTCATTCCGGTTCCTCTCACGCTCATCGTAATCTACATTTTGAAGGCACGGCATCGGCCCGCATAAGTATTGCAGATGATGATGCCGAGCCGAGCCATTCTGCGATGTGCAGATCGCGGGCAGGCTCGAAACACTGCTGAGAGGAGAGATGAGCAAGACGCGCATGAGCAGGAGGAGAGCAGGAGAGGACGGACGAAGAGGATGGATAGAGGGAGGATGGGGAAGGGAAAGGGGAGGATTAGGATGAAGGGGTGGAGGCGGGGAGGGGCGAGGGACCCCTACCTCAGCATCCATGGGGTGCGCCATTGTAGAATTTCAAAGCATTCTTCCTGGGGCGTCGCACTGAAGTGCAATGTGGTCGCTCGCTAGCTCGCTCCCTCTCCCCTCCAGCAGATGCTAGGGAAGGGGGAGCGAGGGGTGCCACTCCCCGAGGTGCTGCCAGGCGTGCACCTTGAGGACCTCGAGACGCGTGGGGGAAGGGGGTGGGCGCATCCCCTTCCAGTCGGAGGGGTGCGAGGAGCTGGAGAAGGGCATGGAGGGGGAGGAGGAGAGGGGAAGGGTGGGGAGGGGGGGAGGGGGGAGAAGGGGACGGGGGAGGAGGTTGAGGGGGAGGAGCGACGGGGGGGGGAGTGGGAGAGGGAGGAGGAGCAGGAGGAGAAGGAGGAGGAGATGGAAGAGAAGGGGGAAGAGGAGGAGGAGAAGGAGGAGGAGGAAGAGGAAGATACAGCAAAGGAAAAACGAAATGACGGGAGATGGAGGGGGCGGATGGAGGAGGCGAGTTGTCCAGTCCTAGGCTCAAGGCCGAGACGGTGCTCACGTTGTTGAGTCGTCTTCGTGAGCACGATCATGATGTTGTTGATGTTGTTGATGACCATGACATTGTTGATGATGTTGTTGATGCTGATGGTGACGATGCTGATGATGCTGATGCTGATGCTGATGCTGCTGCTGATGATGATCATGCTGATGCTGATGCTGGTGCTGATGATGACGATGATGATGATGATGGTGATGATGATGATACTGATAATGATAATGATGATGGTGATTATGGTGATGGTGGTGACGATGATCATCATCATCATCATGATGGGGAGGCGAAGGAGGATAACAAATAGGAGGGCCAGGAGGAGGAGGAGAAGGAAGGAGGAGGAAAGAGGACGAGGAGAAAGAGGAGGCTCCTCGCTCGAGACATCCTCGCGACCTGCTCTGAAAGCAAAGAAGTCCAAACCACCACACAGGCAACCCGCCTGGGCGCGAACGGGCAAGTGCAGCACGCCCTCGCGCCCCCTCCCTCGGGGTGCTGAAACCAGCGCCTCGCTCGCAACACCCTGACAAGTTTGTTGTGAGGCGAGCCTGCGTGTGAGTGGTGAGTGTGAGTGGGTCAACGTGTGAGTAGTTCTGACTGTGCATGCGTCTGAGTGCGGGAATGGAGTCTGACTGCGAGTAGTGTATTTGAGGCTGAGTGCGTCTGAGTATGAGTGGGCATACGTGTTGAGTCTTAGCTTGTGTGAGTCTGAGTCTGAGTGTGAGTCTGAGTGTGAGTGAGTCTGAGTGTGAATCTGAGTGTGAGCAAGTCTGAGTGTGAGCGAGGTCGTCCAACGTCCGCATGTACTAGTAGCCGCGCCAGCAGCAGCTCAGCAGGTTCATCCAGCAGCAGCCGCGCCAGCAGCGCCAGAATGCGTTGCCCACGAGAAACCATCATCGTCAGCTCAAGTGGGAAGCCGGCTCGCCATGGATAAATATGAGTGGGCGTATCGTTCGGTTCCTTCCTTCCTCCATCCTCACTCCTCCATCCTCCCTTCTTTGGGTCACCAAAGTCCGCTTGGATGTACGCCCCCCCCCCTCTGGGGAACCTTGAGGCCACGGCGCGGCAGGGACAACTATTTCGGTTAGCAAAGTCCGTTGCCTCTGTACATTCGGGCGAACCACACAGAGTGCGCTGCATGACAGCCGCGCCCGCCTGGGTGATTCTGGTGATGTTGCTGTTGCGGCTGATGGTAAGGCGAGTTGAAAGCCCACTAATGCACGTTGTTGTTGGTGGTGGTGATGATGTGATGATGATGATGCTGCTGCTGATGATGATGATGATGACGATGCTGATGCTGATGATGGTGATGCTGATGATGGCGATGGTGATGATGATGATGATGTTGATGCTGATGCTGATGCTGATGATGATGATGATGATGCTGATGCTGATGATGATGGTGATGATGATGATGGTGATGGTGATGGTAATTGTAATGGTGATGGTGATGGTAATGGTGATGGTAATGGTGAGGGTGATGATGAATATGAGGATGAAAATTGAGATGTTGGTGATGATGATGCTGCTGACGATGATGATGATGATGATGATGATGATGATGATGATGATGATGACGACGCTGATGCTGATGCTGACGCTGATGCTGCTGCTGCTGATGGTGATGATGATGATGATGATGATGGTGGCGATGGTGATGATTATGATGATGCTGACGATGACGATGCTGGTGATTGTGATGATGATGATGATGATTATGATGATGAGGGTGATGATGATGATGATGACGATGATGATGATGATGCTCATGCTCATGCTCATGTTCATGACCATGCTCATGCTCATGCTCATGCTCATGCTCATGCTCATGCTCATGATGATGATGATGATGATGATGATGATGATGATGATGATGATGATGATGATGATCATGATCATGATCATGATCATGATCATGATGTTGATGATGATGATGATGATGATGCTGATGATGATGATGCTGATGCTGATGCTGATGATGATGATGATGATGATGATGATGATGATGATGATGATGATGATGGAAATGATTAAACACTGGATGCATCGAAACGATAACCGCTTGTCGTGCAAACCCGTTATGGGCAGGGGTCGCACATCCGTTGGGAACCAAACCAATGCGACGCCCGCGAAGTGCGCCAAGTGTGCCAAGTGCGCCACGCGCGCCAGATGAGCCAGGTGCCCCTGGAGAATGAAGGCGGAAAGACGAGGAGGAGGATGAGGAGGAGGAGGGAGAGGAGGAGGAGGCGGAGGAGGAGGAGGAGGAGGAAGAGAATGAGGAGGAGGAGGAGGAGGAGGAGGAGGAGGAGCCTGACCAGCGCAACGAGGAGGAGGAGAAGGAGTCGCCGGAGGAGAAAGAGGAAGAAAAGGAGGAGGCGGAGGAGGAGGAGGGGGGAGAAGGTGCTGCAGGGGAGGTGTCAGCCGCGACTGCAAGGAGGTGCGAGTGGTGCGGGGCCCCGGCAAGGGCGCAGTGCTGCCGTTGATCGCCAGAGACGCGAAGCGGAACGTCGCGCGCGTGCGGAGCGGCGTGGGTTCGGGGCCCGCTGGGGGGGTGGGAAAGGGAGGCTCGAAGAACACAGAACGACACAGACAAGGAACGACAAGTTCCGCGTGGATCTCTCTGATCGGCGCTGGGCCCCCCTAGTGGCGCGTCTGGCGAAACGACCCGAGAAATCTACGCGCAGCTCCGAAAGTTTATGTGTACGTCGCTGTTTGTTCTGCTATGGGAGAGGAGGCGCGGGGTCCCTCTCCGTCGCTTTTTCTGCGCCTCGTCGTGCTTCTCCTTCCTCGTCTCTCCTCGCCCCCCTTCCGCGTTCCTCTTCTCCTTCCGCGCACGGGGGAACCACCTGGGTCCCCTGGTGTTTTCTGGGGCTTCTTGGATCACCTGAGGTACCCGAGATTGTCCCTATGACGCTTGCTCGGACGTTTCCAGAGGAGGGTCAGGCGAAGAGCGACTCGGCCGTCCCTTCGGCTTCACCCCTTCCTCTCGAGGGTTGGGCCAACCTCAGGGTTGAGCTGAAGGGGGTGGGCCGACCCTGCAAGCATTGTCGGCCCTGGGAGCCCTCTGGCTCCGGGGCCCCTGTGGGACGCCTCCTGGATCCAGGGCCCATTCTGGCAGATTCCTTTGGATGGCCCAACCGGGGACCCTCTGGTGTGTTGGTTCGCCATCTTTTCTCGCTCTCTTTTCACGTCTCTGGTTCACCTCCCAGACAGGGGTCCTTCGCTTTGCCAGTTGGCCATCCTTCCCCACCTTCCTTTCGCTTCTCCGGTTCATCTCCCCGGTGCTCTCCTTTGAAAGGAGGGCATATGGCCTGCTGGGTTGCCACATTTGTCAGTTTCCCGTCTCTTCTCTTCTCTGGTTCACCTCCTCGGTGTTCCCATGCGCCTTCCCGTGCGCCCGCCTTGCACCGTCTTGCAACGTTGGCGATTCCGGGGCCCCTCCGCTGCGCTTGAATTGGTTCAACGTGCGCGGGGCGGTGGCGACAGCGATAGCGACCCAGTTGCCAGCTTCCCAGCGGGCAGCAGATACAGCGGGGGCTCTGCCAAGAAACACCCTGCTTGCCTCCAGGGTGCCTTGGGTTTCTTGGGTTTCGATGGCTTTGCCATGGAACACGTGACGTTCCCGCACCAAAAATTAATGGACGTCTTGGGGTCTCAGGGTTGGGCTTCTTGTGGAAGGTTTCTTGTGGACTAGCCTCCACTGTATGCATTGCGCTGCCCGCGTCTGCCGCGCGGAAGCTCCTGGCGAGGATTGGCGGCGAGCCGAGGGGGGAAGTGAGAGGGGGCAGGCCTTCTCAGAAGGCGTCGGGGCTTGTCAGAAGCCCTCGCGCCCTCCGAGAAGCCGTGCGCGTCTTCGGAGAAGGCTCAGACGGCTTCCCAGAGAGCTGGAGGCCTTCTGAGCCCTCCTGAGCAGGCCCGCTCCCTCTGCTTCCCCCTTTGGGAACGCCGCCGAGAAAAAGGAGGTCGGGGGGGAACAGGCCCCCCCCCCCCGCTCAGCCAGCCCGCGAGCGAGCAGGAGTCAGGCGATCGCAAACATGGATCGAGGGGCGTGGATTTGCGACGGGTCCCGTTCCCACGGCAAATCGCGGATTTCCGCCGCCGAACGAGGCGGCATTGGCCGCGTTTTGGGGAGGGCACCTTCCCCGATCCATGGATGTGGTGACCGCACGCCAAGTCCATGGATCGCTAATCGACGTTTGCGCGCCCCCGAAGGAGGGAGGGCGCCGAGACCGAGATGCGGCTCGACGACGTCTGCCAGTTCATGGTCTGAGTCGCCCGCGCGCCCGCAGCCGGGCCCCGGCGCCGCACAGGCGCGCGGGGCCCGGCGCCAATCCCTGGCGGGTGCGTGCGCGGGCTCTCTCGGGCCGCAAAGCGGGGGGCTGCTCGACGAGGCCGCGGCGGGGAGGGGAGCAGGGGGGGGAGGAGCGCGGAGGGAGCCGACGAAGTCAGCCACGCGCAGAGGGGGGTGGGGGCAGTGGGGAGGGCTTCTTAGAAGCACCCCTGCTTCTTTGAAGGCGGGGGCCTTATCTATACTAGATGCAAGGCCGGCGCCTTCTGAGAAGCAGCCTCCTTCTAAGATGCTCTCCCCCCTCCCTCCACCCCCTTGTGCGCGCCGCCCAAGAAGAGCGCATTGCATGAGCAGAAATTCCCGGTGCCCGGAGCCCCGCACGGATTTCTCGGATCGGCGTTGGGCACCCCTGGGGGCGCCTCCGGCGCCGCCCTCGGCGCGTTCTGCGTGCCAGGGAGGGGGGGCCAGCGCCGATCTCAGAAGTCCGCATGGGGCTCCGAAAGTGTATGTTTAGTCATGTCCTGGCTTGTTCGTCTAGAGTCTAGAGAGGGCAGGAATGAGAAGCGATGCCGGAGCGAGGAGAGGGGCAGAGGAACGTTGCGAGGGAAGACCAGGACGAGGGAACAGAAGTGAAGAATGATGAGGCGGGGCGGAAGAGCAAGAGGGGAGCGGGAAGCGGGACGGGCACGGAGACAGACGCGGAGTGGCAGTGGAGGAGAGCAGAAGAGGAGAAGGGGGAGTGCGGGAGGCAGTACGGGATGGGGGGAGAAGGTGAAGGAAGGAGGGAAGGAGGGAGGGAGCGAGGGATGAAGGATTGTCCTGAGGAAACGACAATCCTTCATCCCTCCGCCTCCTTCTCTTGCCTCCTCCCTTATCCATACTTCCTTCCCCCGACTCGCTCCACCCTCGCTCCATCGCGACTCCCTCCCTGTCCATCCAGACTTAATTAGGTCTTCGGACCCAGGCCAATCTACATTCCACAATGCATAGGCCTTCAATCCTCCCCCATGCAACCTTCCTCCTCATGTTGCTCCTTCCCTCCTTTCTCTCTCTCTCTCGTTCTCTCTCTCTCTCTCTCTGTTTTCTCTCCCTCCCTGTATTCCCCTCTCTCTCTCACTCCACCCCCTGCACCTCCTCATCCTTTACAGACTTGCCCCGTTTTCCTCCCTCCCTCCTTCCTCTTCCTACCACCCTCCTATCCAGCCCCTCCCCTTCTGCCCTCCCCACCTAGCGCAGTCGTCGCCACCTCTCCCCGCGGAGCACCGGGCACGCCCGGCAGGTCCTGGGTGCCCCCGTGCAGGCGCCCACGGCCCGCCGCCGCGGTCTCTCGCCGCCTCGACGACCCGCCGCCTCGGCCGTTTGCCGCCTCGGCCGCTGCAGACGTGCCAACGGCGGCGGCGGCAACGACGAGGGGCTCCTCCTCCTCCTCCTCCTCCTCCTCCTCCTCCTCCTCCTCCTCCTCCGCCTCCTCCTCCTCCTCCTCCTCCTCCTCCTCCTCCTCCTCCTCCTCCTGGCACCTGTTCCACTGGGATCCCTCCCCAGGAAAACAAGCGGGTAGCCTCCCGTTCGTCACCGCAGGTGCTCCTTCGGGACCCTGGGGGAGAGAAAGAAGGTAGTCGTAGGCCGTGGGGAAGGGTCGTGTGTGGGGTCTCGGGGCTGTGCCCGACTCGTCCTTGTGGCGGCCGGGGGCAGTTCATGGCCTCAGTGCGCGGCTTTTCCTTCCGTGTTCCGTGCCTGGATTGTGGGTCTGCCATGTTTTGTTGCGACGCCCTTGCGTGGCCCTCCCAGTACTTCGCTGGGGCAAGGGTGGTGTCGCGGGTCCCCTATGCCCGGGGGGCTCATCGGAGGATCCCCGCCCATTCTCCCTACGGTCACGGTCCCCCGCCGTGGCGTGCGTGGGGGCGGGCTGTCCCCGAGGGAGTGGCGCCCCTCGGGTGGCGGATCGGGGCGGCGCGCGCGGCGCGTCGTTATCTGTGGCCTCGGAATGTCAGAACAGGTTCGTAGGGCGGTTTACCGGCTTAGCTGCTGCCTCTTGGCGCACGCGGCGTCCCTGGCGCGCGTGTCGAGTACGGCTCTCGCCTTTTTTCGCGGCGCTGCTGCCTTTAGTGGCGCGCGTCGCCTTTTGCGCGTGGCCTCGGGCCGGCGCCCCCCCGCCACGAGCGAGCTGGGCGCGCGCCCCCACCGCTGGCCTTTGGGCCGAGGGTTGTACCCACCACGTCCCCCTGTCGGCGTGGCCCATCGGCCCAGCGCCGCGCATTTTGCGCGCCGCTTCGCCCGCGGCGATCGCGGGCGGCCGAGGGCGGCGGGCGCTCCTGCACTCGTCCGCTTTTCGGTGTGCTCCACTCTACTCTACTCTACTCCACTCCGCTCCACTCCACTCCACTCCTCTCCTCCTCATCCTCATCCTCCTGCTCCTCCTCCTCTTCTTCCTCCTCCTCTTCCCCCTCCCTCACCTCCTCCTCTTCCTCCTCCTCCTCCTGCTCCTCCAGTCCTCCAACCTCCTCCTCCTCCTCGTCCTCCTCTTCCTCCTCCTCCTTCTCCTCCTCCTCATCCTCATCCTCATCCTCCTCCTCCTCATCCTCCTCATCATGCTCTGCGAGGGCCAGGCGAAGGCTGCGGCGGAGGCCGCCGCGCCGGCCCAGCGCGGCCCTCCTGCAGGACGGCCGCCCCCAAGGGGCGCAGTGCGGCAGCATCCGGAGAAGATCCACCCTGGCAGGGCACGCCAAGCATGGCCCACTCAGGGGCATGGGCTCGCGGGGGGGGGGGGGTCGCATCGACGGCCGCATCGACCCCCATCGCCCAGTCCTCGTTGATCGGGGCCCGATGGCCCATCCCGCTCGGGAGTGTGGAGTTTCGCTGTCTGGGGCCGCCGATGCATCGCCGATTCCAAGTCGATATCCCCCCCCCCCTAAGCCAGCGCCCCCCTATCGTTCCAGCGTGGCCCTCGCAATCCCGAGACCCTCTGGGCACACTGAGGGTTGAGATTCGTGAGATGTTGAGCTTGGGAGGCCTGCCACAGTTTGAGGTGCTGTGGGTCTAATAATCGTGAGTTTGTTTGCCTCCGCGACCCGTTCTGCAAGAGTGACAAACATCCGCTGTTACACGCTCTGGACCTGGGAAGCCAAGGATAGTGATAATCCTTGTGTCATTGCCTGCCACGCCCTCTGGGCCCTTCTTGGACCGTCTGGGCAGCCTCGTGGACGTACTTCGGCCCCTCCAGGGACTCTCTTGAGCTCTGTTGGGGATACCTTGCGGTGATTCTGGGCCATGGGAATTCCAGTTGCCATATTGAGCCAAGCAGGGGATTGAACAAGGAATTTCAATTTGGCCCTTCAGGATGTCTTTGGGGCCTCTCAGGGCCTCTTGAGTCGACTTCCAAGCATTTTGAGCGCGTTGGATGCCGTTTGGGGCCGTCTTGCAAACTAGTTTATCCAGATTAGCACGGTGGCTGAGGTTGGGCCGCCCACATACCTCTTGAGAGGCGGGAGGCCAGTGGGTGCGATAAACGGGGGGTAATCGCAGAGCTCATACCATGCAGCACGTCTGCGATGGCCAAACGTTCCGAGAGGGTTGCGATTGCGGGCGGCTATACGACAATGGGGAACTATGTGAATTCTGTGAACCCCTCAGAAAAGGTCAGTGCGCGATGCAAGCCGTAGCGCACGCCTGTTCATTCAACGAGCTTGACAAAACAGAGGAGGACAACCGTTTGTCCAAGCGTGTCTCGCAGGAATAAGATAGCAGTGAGCACGATGATGACAGCGACAGCTGTGACGTGGTGGAGGAAACACGGCGAACGTGAACAGCACGAGACGATCCAGGGCATATTGTGATTGCGATGCCGAAATCTTCGAAGTACCAGGAACAACAGCGCGAGCGAGAAAAGTTGCAGGAGTCGGACACACGAGTCGGCATGACGACAACGGCGACCATGTTGATGACGCTGGGACCCCTAGAGGACACAGGAGCGTGCCGAGGAGGCCCCGAAAGCCTGAGGCGGCCCCAAGAGGGCCCGAAGAGGGGCCCAGGACAGGACACGCCCCGCAGTCCCGCACCCGCTCTCCCCTCCGCTCCTGCCCTCAGCCCTCCCTCCCCGCTTTGATCCACGTTTTGGACGCTTTCTGCGCCTCCTGGGCCTCAGGAGGCACCCAGGGAGCCGTCAAGGTCCATGGGACCTCCGGGGACCTCCGAGCAGGCAGGCAGGCAGGAGGAAGGGACTAGGAGGAGAGCGAGCAGGAGGGGGAGGAGGAGGAGGACGAGGAGGAAGAGGATCTGGAGATCAGGGATGCACTTAATCTGCACCTGTCCGCGGCATAATTTGATTTGCCCACTTCGCCTGAGTCGGCCATTCTTGTTTCATATCCGAGAAGCGCTACAGCCCCCGCAGCTGGAGGTGGTCTAACAAAAAAGTACGGGCACGAGTAGGAGGCCGAGGAGGAGGAGGAGATCAGGGACGAGGGACGAAGAGGACAAAGGTCGGTCTAACAAGGACGGGGACGAGGGACGAGGGACGAGGAGGAGATCAGGGACGAGGGACGAGGGACGAAGAGGGGGAGATCAGGGACGAGGGACGAGGAGGAGGAGGTCAGTGAGGAGGGACCCCCCCGCCTTCGCAGGCGACAGACCAGGACGCGAACGCCTCTGGCGCGCCGTGCCTCGAGGTGCGCCCGCACCGCGCCAGCGGGGCCGCGCGCTCGCGGGGGGTGCTCCGGGCTCGTGCTGCCTCGGCGCGGCGGCGCCGGCGCGGGCGCTCAGAGGTGGAGCGCCTCCCATCAGGGGCAGGGTCCGAGCTCGGGAGTTGCGTAATGGGGTCGGGCGGGTGGCAATGGGGGCGTGATCCAAATGGGGGGTGGAGGAAAAGGGCCCTAGATGGACCCTTCTGGAGCCAGCTGGTGCCCAAAAGAGGTCCTAAAGGGCCCCTTTCGGGCTCTTTTCTTCACCCCCGATCTGGGCCACCCCCGATTACCACCCGCCCGAGCGCAATTGGGTTGCGGCAAATGTCGGCCACGCGCAGAGTGGGGCAGGGGGGGGGAGGAGGTGGAGCGCCTCCCGTCATCACGGGAAGGGTCCGAGTTCGGGCGTTGCGTCATGGGGGTGCGACATCTGTCGGCCTCGCGCAGAGTGGGCTAGGAGGAGGGAAGAGGTGGAGCGCCTCCCATCATCACGGGCCCCTTTTGTGCACCTTACGGGCCCCCAGGGTCCCCAGGGTCCCACCTGGGACACGAAAGGTATACGATCCTCCACCCCACTTTCATCGCCCCCCACGAAGCAGTGCCCAAAGAACATATGAGGTCGGAGGATCGTGCCGCATCGCCGATGCATCGGCGATGCGACTCGATGAGGAGCCTGATTCATTGGCTCACGCCGCACCGCCGACCCCGTGGGGCGGCAGCAAGAGTGAGAGACGGAGTTCGCGGAACGCGCGCACTATCGTTGGGCAATCTTGGGGGTTCGGCCTGTCTTACGTAGCGTGTGGGGTCCAAGGGGGGGTCTTGAGGGTATTGTTTTGAAGTTATTATGGTCTCATGTGGGCTTCTTGGGGCCTTCACGGGGCTTGTCCCAGGCCTCCTTTTTCCACCCCCTGGATAGGCTCGGGGATCGTTGAGACCCAGCTGGGGGTGCGTCCGGCCAGAAGTTCGAGAGTGAACCCAGCTGTGTCGACGAGGAGCTTCCTGAAAGCCCAGAGGGGGCGGAGAGCGCCCAAGAACTTGGAGTCTCCTGCCTCGAGCCTCGATCCACCCCGTGTTCCTTCCTTTGCAAAGGGGTGGCGCCGGCCAGGGAGGTCGATCCTCATCCCGGACTCTCGGCGGTGGTCACGGGCACCGAAAACGATTCCTGGAGGCTGAATTCGAGGAGATGCCTCGGGCGGTCGAATGACCACGAAAATATGTGAGACATCGGCGGCGACGACGACGACATATTGTTGCTTTTTGTTCCTTTTCCTCCTCTTCCTCCTCCTTGTCCTTCGGTCCTTCTCCTCTTCCTCTTCTCGATCGAGGTAGATGCCCGCCGCACGTGGCCGTTCTGGCTGCCTTTCCCGAGATTTTTGTTCGAGCAGCTTTTGTTTTTGACAGATGTCGGTCTCCGGGGGCCGTCGTTGAGCCCCAGGACTTCCCAAACTGGACGGACCAAGGGCGAGAAATTGCATCGGCGGACCCGGGAAGAGTTTCGGGAAACGAAATGGTGCGTAGTAGCCCGTCGGGCTCGGGGGGATTGTTGTGGTTTGGGGGGTTCCGGGCCCCCCCCTTGTCGCCGCGGCTGGATGCATCAAGGGAAAACGATTGCGATTGGATTCCGGGAAGGGTCTGGGGGGGCTCATGGTGAACGATTTTTGCGTGGGTAAATGGGAAGAATTGTTTACGTTTCGCGAGTCCCCACCAGCCCCTCGAAAAACCTGCGCTGACCGTAGGGTGTTTTCTCTTCCTTCTCCCTCTCTTTGGCTTCTTTCTTCCATCCTCCTCTCCTTCTCCTCTTCCTCGTTGCTCCTTCTCTTCGTCGTTCTTCTTCTCCTGGCGTTGCCGTGCGATCTTGGGGCTCCCTTGGGATCTCAGGGAATCGTGGCCCTGGGGCTCTCTTGGGGCTCCTTTGGGAGTCTTGAAACCCTCTCGGGGCTCTTGTGGGAGTTTGGGAGCGCGGGGTTGCCCTTAACGCGTACGCTCTGGCGTACTACGCCGCCAACCGGGCGCGCCTCCAGGAGGCCGCCCGGCAGCGGTGGGACACCCACGGCGAGCGGCTCAACCCAGCGCGGCGGGCTCGTTACATGATTAACGAGGGTGGGTTCCGGGACCAGGTTCTGGAGCGCAACCGCGCTGCTCGCAGGCGCGCAGATAAACGTGTTCCGTTTCTCGGCGGTGCTGCGCGCGAGCGTGCGGATAAACGTGTTTCGCCCCTGGGTGGCCGGGCGCGAAAGCGGCCATCAGCCGCTGGGTCTTGACTCCTTGGGGCCTCCTCCACCGCCCCTCCTCTCCCTTTTTCCTCGCCCTCCCCTCTCCCCTTCCCTCCTGCCTCTCCTTTCCCTCTTCTTTCCTCTTCCTCCTCCTCGTCCTCCCCCCCTCCTCTCCCGCCCTCCCTCTCTCCTCTCTTCTCTCCCCTCCTCTGCAGTGGAGCTGAGGCCGCCCAGGACATTGTCGCCGCCCCGGGCGGCGTCCGCTGCTTGACGGTGAACGTCACGATCCTCACCCGCGCCCGCCTCGATGCTGTGCTCGACCGGGCCGCTGAGGTGCGGGCTTCCGTCGTGGCCCTGCAGGAGACGCGGCACCCTGCCGATGGGTGGCGGTGGGCACCCGGCGCCCTTGCTGCAAGGGGTTGGCGGGTTCAGTGGTCGGCCGCCCCCCCGCCTAAGGCCCTCCCTCGGCGCCCTCTCCCCGGGCGGACCCCTCTTCTCCGGGAGGGCGGGTGCGCTTTGCTCTGGAGGGCTGACATGGGCCGGGGGACCCCGGTTAGTGCCCTTGGGGATTGGCGCCGGCGCCCCCGGCGGTTCGGGCAGGTCGTCGTCGCGTCGGAGTGCGGCCCTGCTGCTCAGGCGGACGTTCCGTGGCTTTCCGAGACCCTCGACTGGTGCGTGCGTGCCAAGAACCGAGTGCCCAGCACGCCCAATCCGCCTCGCTGTCGTCGTCGTCGTCATCGCCGGTGGGCTGGGGGGGGTCCACGCCGGTCCGTCCGGCCGGCGGGAAGGGCAAGCCCCCTCAGTCGTCGGCGGCCGCCTCGAGCAGCCGGCGTTCCTCGACCGACGGGGGCCGAAGCCATCGGTAAAGGGCCGTGCGCCGAAGCCGCCCCTGCTGCACCGGGGGCGGGGCGGGCGTCCCAAGGCTAAAAGTCATGCCAAAATGATGGGGCACCCCTGGGAAGGGGGCAGCATCTTCGAGCTGAGGCAGACACCCAGACCCGCGGCACCGAGTCGGGGCCGCGCCTTTGGAAGCGCTGGGCCGGTGAGGGGGCGACCCACGGAGCCTGGACCAAGAAGTCGCACGACCCGAAGTTCAGATCCCCCACGACCGCGCTCGAACCAGTTCCGGCCGCGGCGCACGAGGAGGCCACTTTCTAGGCCGCGGTGGCTTTGGGCCTCGCCGAGGTCTCCCGGAAGTCGGAACGCGCTATAGGCAAGGACCCCTTATAAGGGGTCTTTGCCTAGCACTCGACCGACCGCTCCGGCTGCCGCGCACAGGCCGGCCGCGACGGTTCGGCAGCGGCGCTTGGCCCGGCTGCGCCGGCGCGTGGTCCACGAGACCAGGCGCGCGGGGCACCGGGCCCCTCCCCCCGCCCCCCTCCTCAGGCAGTGGGCCGCTGCCCTCCGCGACGGCCTGCTGCCGGGCCGGCCCCCTCAGTGCATAGGCGACGCGGCCGAGGTTCTGTCAGGGGCCATTTCGGCGGCGGACGCGGCGGATTCTAAGGCCTCCTCTGCACAGTGGCGTGAGCAGTTCCGTCAGTGGGACGCCGGCTCCTCGGCGGCCGCCGCGGGCTACCTGCGACCCAGGTTGCCGCCTCTGGTAGTCACCGCGGAGGACATGCTCGCGGTTTGGGACCCGTGGTGGCGCCCCCCCGAGAGCCCGGCCCTTCCGGGCGGCGGCCCGGATTGGCCCCGCGCGGCCGCGGAAAGCGGGGCCCCCCTGCCGGCGCCCCTGCCGCGGCGCCCCCCTACCCCCGAGGAGTGGGCGGAGGCCCTCTCCCAAGTCTCTGGCACGGCCGGCTTTGACGGGTGGGATTCTAGCGAACTGGGAGCGATTGCAAAGCATCTGCCGCGCCTCGCCGAAGAGCTTCGCTTGGTCCTTGTCCGGGTGGTTCAGGATCCGGAAGAGTGGCCTGCTTCCTGGTCGCTGCGTTTTGTTGGGCTCCGAGTCGCTGGAATCCCGAAGCGGGGGTCTGATGGCGCTCGCCCTGTGGCGGTCGCCCCCGCGTGGCTCCGGGCTTGGCACAGCTGCCTGCATCGGTCCCTTCCTCCTCCCCCCGACGGCGCCCGGGGGGAAAAGGGGGCGGCGCGGCCCTTCGCGGACTGGGCCGCCGCGCCGGGCGAGGCCGGAACCGAGGTGGACATGCAGAAGGCGTACGACTCGGTCGCCCACCGAGTCGCCACCGACGCCCTCCTCCACCAAGGCACGCCTCCGGCCGTGGTGAGGTTCTTAGTGCAGACTTGGCGGGCTCCTCGGTTCTGCATTGTGGGGGGATGCCTTAGTGACCCCCCCCACCCTGTTCGGGGGCTGCCGGCGGGGTGCCCGTGCAGCGGGCGGACCCTCAGCTGTGTCTTAGCCCCGTGGCACGCCCGGCTTAGGTCCCTCCAGACCCCCACCGAGATGGGCGGCGCCATTGTCTGATGTTGTGAGATGATAGTGGGAGATGGATCTTCATTCATCTATAGTTCTAAGCGTCTGGCATCACCTCGCAACATCTCACATCACCTCGCACCTCCTCGCAACATCTCACATCAAGGCGCATCGTTTGTAGACAGAAGCGAGCCCAACATAAATTATATCATCTTGGGTTATCATCTCAGACAGCGTCGTGGAGTTACGCCCCTAGTTAGGATATGTTGTATAGTAGATGGTGATGTTCTATGACCAGTTCGCATCTAAGTTATACATGGTTGCGTTCTTACAAGATGTTAGTTCGCATCTTCTGTTATCTTCGCCCGTGGCCATGGGCGCGCGCGCCCCAGAGCGTTGCGCAT